TGATCAACAAGCAGTATGGGGATTCTCAGACATGGCAGCATACATGGAGATAACTTGAAACGGTTTGCGGGGGGTCTTTACTATGTGTTATATCAAGAACCCGCTTGAAGTGAGAACTCCTATGTCGGGGCAGTAACTACGGTATAAACAAGGCATCGAAATTGGCACCCTTGCCTTGTTAGGAACTTCTGTAATTTTGAGCAACGTTCGATGCCGCCAAATCTATGAAGAGGCCTGCCTTGTAAGACATGAAGAGAAAGATGAAACGTCCCATGACATTCCCTGCGTATTTTACTACCCTTAGTGATAACCTGCAAACTTGTGCACGATAACTACCAGCCCAGAAAGCGCACACCACGAATACTACAACCAGAACCATGACACAGAACACATTTGCTCACGTGCTGTTGCAGGGGACCATACAAAGAACAAAGTGCAGCCGCGCAGCAGGTTGTTCTGTTTGGTGATTGACCGACTGCGCACGCAAAGGCCTGCTGGTGCATCAGGGGCCCAAGGCTTCGGATTTCGGCTTCAAAGGCTCGGGGTTCAGCAGTTTCGAGGCTTTCAAACTTGCCCTATCTTCTGTTGAGAAACCCTGGAACAAATGCCTACTCCATTGCAAAACGTGTAAGGTCTTCTCACATGAGCCCAAACTAGGCAACTATCTCAACTGGACGATCCAAACGCGACAAAAAAGGAAAAACCATCAACTCCAACAGCCATTACAATTCCAAGGGACCACAGAACAGATGCAGAGGATAAGGTCGGGACATCAGAAGGATGGCCCATATTTGCCGAAATCTTTATCAGATCTGGGGCTGCAAGAAGAGGAAAGAACGCTCGTGCAGGCAAGTCCGGCATGCCCACCGAAACTGCAATCGAAAAATTAAGGATTCAGGCAAGCTGGTGTCGAGGTTTCGGGTTGATCCTGAGTCACGTGCACCGAGCACAGCCCCAAAGATCCCCACGTAGCCAGAGACCCGGAAGAATCACCCGTACGCCAACCCCAGCATTCAACCAGGTCTTTTGCTGATTCTTGCTAACTGGCAACGAGCTGGTACACTGAGACTTCCGGAATCTAGGTATACGTCGGACAGACTTTATCATTGGCGTACCGCTTCAAGCTGCCAGGATGTTATTGGTGTTGGATTGGGGGTTAGGGTTGGGGGTTTGGGGATGTCGACAAATGTCTGCCTTGGGAAGGCTTAGTGGGTTTCTGCAGTATCCCATGCATGAGGTAGTGGGACAAAGAGAAAGACAGAGACAAACTGAGCACAGGAAAGTTAGGCATGACAAGGAGTGGGGTGTGCCCATGTCAGGTTCGGTTCCTACACTCAACAAATCCAGGATCTTTCCGTCCGCACCATAGTCCCAGAACCAAAAAGCTCATAAACCCTCAACACAACATGTCTTCCACCTGAACAGTCGCCCTTGGAGGTCCACTCTGACCAGTCCGCCCACCTTCGACTTGGCTACTTCATCTGTCCTACTCTTTACAACTGGCAGTCTTCGTAGGAATCTTTGTTGCTGCACAGAGTGATGCCAATAGCACCACTCCTCCTCCTCCTCCTCCTCCTCCTGCTCCTCCTCCTCCTCCTACTGCGGCGTCTGCTGTTGTGTTCCACGGCGTTGGGAAGGGACGGGCTTGGGCTTTGGAGAAAGCAAAGACCTGCTGTTGCTGCAGTCGCCGTCGTCTTCATGATGGCCCACATATGCTGGTCAGAACAGACATCTGAACTGAAATATTGTAACCATGACGAGGGACGAATACCGTCAGGGTCTAAATTCTGAAGATCTCACCATGGTTCGAATACTACGGTCCACCGTGACTCACGGGGAATTAACACTCGAGGTCAGAGGTGCGAAGTACTCTATCATGAGGTTGCTATGAGCTTGCTGGTGCAAAGACCCCGGGTTCTGGAGATCAAGTATCCAGACGTCTTGGGCATAAACCCTTTTCGTTCCAGGAACTCAGTGCAAACCAAACCTCAAGCTGAAAACAAAAAAGCTGACCGAAAAGAAAGCTCTGAATCCTCTGACCTCAGGACCTCAATCAGAAATTGATTGAGGAGCCCTCAATTTGGGCATCTATGCCCTAAAGCCTTCATCCCCCATGCCCCATACCTCAAAACTTCCCTCAGGGCTTAAAGTTCAGAGTCCCTACTCTGAACCCCTAAACCAACCAAGTTCATCTCAATGCAACCTATGCAATCTGCATCATGTGGAGGGTCTGCTAGAGATCCACTTGGCTCTCAAGAACAAACCGTGAACCCCGTGAAACGAAAGCCTCGCCCCAATAATCCTGTAAGCCCAGACCCTAAAACCCTGACCCCCTCATCCGCCAGGATCTGTCTGGGGCGTTGGCTCGCAATCTTCAGGCTCGCAGCCCTGGCAGTCGCGGTAGCTCTGGCACTCCGCCTGCTGCCTGGAACTTTGCTGCTGCCACTGATACTATTCAAGAAACTAGCTACCAAAGAGGAGCAAAAGTGCAGTGGCAGTAAAAGCAAGGGTGGCGGCCGGGTGTGGGGGTGCAGGGGATGTGGGCGAGGTGTGGGGGTGTGGTGGGGGTATGGTGGGAGTGTGGTAGGGGGGCGTGGTGGGGGTGTGGGGGTTTCTGTCATTACCGGCGCTTCCAGGGGCAGGTTGGCCGCGCTTGCTTGGTAAACATGATAATGACTCGATGATACAGGTCGAGGGACCACTGGGGGAAAGTGCTTCCATCGGAATTTCACGAAAGGTAGGGGGAGTGCTCCATGTAGCAAGAGCATCCTCTGCAGAGAGACAGACTCCATGGGATATGGGCGCTGGACGGACTGGCTCTATGCAAAACTGCTAGCCTAGACAGCACCGAAACCCTGAAACTTCAGAGCGAGGTCCAGCAAAGTAGCTCGCTGCCGCTCAAGACAAAGCTTGTCTCTGAGCCCTGACCCCCATAAACCGCGCCGCGCTCTGGGGCTCCAGGCCGCTGGTAGCCGTTGCACTCCGTAGTGGGGTGCGAGGAGTTGAGGTGCACTTCCTGAAATATGTTCGAGTAAGATGACTCAGGCACACTTTTACAAATGGACATGCAAGTGATTATGTGATGATGCACCATGGATAGTACACGGAAGCTCCAGGGGGTGTAAGGACTCTCCGGGGGCTTACTGTTTGAGGTTGGGCTGCCAAAAAAAAACATGTATAGAAATATCCCCGAGGAATCGTCGTGTGAAGACCTGGCTCCCTGCCAGCAACCAGACAGGCCGAGACCTCGTGCTAAAACCCACTCAGTTAACGTCTGAAGCACATTCTCCTTGCCAAACAAAAGAATAATCACAATAGTGATCACAGAAATACAAACCTTTCACTTATCGGCATCTATAGTGATTTGAGAAGTAGTATTCGATAAGCCTCAAAACTGATGCATCACAGCGTCAAGGCAGGCAATGTCCATATGCTCGCAACACCATACCTCCACAGAGCGGACATGGTGCGGTTCAGACTCCTCTATGCCCCCCGACAACATTTGTGTAGAACGTAGAAAACACTACATAGTCACTACGACTTTTTGGAGGTTAAAAGGGAGGGACCACAGCTTTGGAGAAATGCACATATGCTTCCAGCTGCTCAAAGGTCGCCTTGGGTTCCTAATGTGACCGGGCTCCTTGTGGTACACGAGTATTCGTTTGGGTCTGAGATGTAAACGTTGCCATGGAGTAAGAGTGCGCTGTAGGAGGGGTCAGGTCTGAGACTCTATCCGGTATTCTGTATGCAGTTCCCATTCGGGACTTGAATGGAGTTAGACTACCCATGACTACCCTTACAACACTTTCTAAGTTGGCCAAGAAGAAGAAGCCATGCATCATGATACAAAAGTCACAAATGGCTTTTGTTCGCTAACTTCTCTATCAGACTTCGTGGTTTGGGAGTCTAGAATCAAAGCATAGGTGTACCGCGGTCTTCTGATGCAAGCTGATTCTACTACCTCTTGATTGCAAACTGAAAGGAAGGAATGCTGGATGGATAGATGGATGGATAGATGGATGGATGGATGGATGCATGGATGAATGCACGGATGAATGCACGGATGGATGGATGGATGGATGGATGGATGGATGGATGGATGGATGGACGGATGGATGGATGGATGGATAGATGGCTGGATGGAGTGACAGCTGCCTACAGTAGCTTAAGGAGGACTCCTCCAGGAAAATGTGGACCCAAAACGACCGCCGCAGCAGCCGGCAGCAGCAGCAGCAGCAGCAGCTTCAACCGCACCTTCTGCGCGTTGCTCCACTTGGGATAACGATGGATCGTGCCCTGGCACAAGCAGATTTCCCAGAGTGGTTAGACTTTGGACACGGGGCTCCAGGCTCAGGGTGTATAACCTGTTTGTAGCAGTTGCTGCGACGTTGCAGCATGCTCTAAAGCTTAGGCTTCTCTAAAAACAATGGAAGGTCACAAGCGAGTTGACAGGAAGGGTATACGGGCTCTGAGGACGCGGGTGCCTCACAGTGAGAAATCTTGCCATCGAGTCTTTCATGACGCAGGCAGCGCTTACGGACGCCCAAGGCATCTCGAAACTGGTTTTTGTACCACGGGTGAATGAAGGAACCCTTCCGGACAAGACCAGCCACAGAGCCGCAACCCTACTGAACCTTAGAGCAGAGTCCAAAGATGCAGTTGAGCAGCAGCTTTCACATGGGCTACTGTCAACATGTCCTACCTAATTTGGTGGACATGCGTTCCTGATAAGTGACTATACTGTATTCAGGACTATACCAAACTACAAGAGGGACCCCTATGTCCACTGCTACCGGTCCCTCCCCTGATAAAAGGCTAGTATTGAAAGATGGGGGCACGCAATGATTGGCATCAAGAAAGAGAGTCTGATCTGGCACCCTAACCTTGACACGCAAAACAGGCAGACACTGCAGCTTCCAAACGCTGGACTCTGCAGAGGTTGCAGCAAACTACGCCCGCCAATCCAAGAAATGCTGAAGTACCGGCAAGATCCGACAAGCCTGGCAGTCGTAGGGCAACGAGGACGTGATCGACGTGGTCTGGGTGGTTGTGGTGGCCTCTGTGGTTGTGGTTGCCTTGGTGGTGGCAGCCACGGTGGTTGTTGCCTTGGTAATGGTGGCCGCTTCTGTGGTGGGAGCTTCCGTGCTGGAAGCTTCGATGGAAGCTTGGGTGGTGGAAGCTTCTGTGGTTGCTTGTGTGGCACCTGTTGTGGTGACCGAAGCATTGCCCGCTGCGGTCCTGGCAGGGCTTAATTCTGGTACTGCACAGCGTGGGGTGCTTCTGCAGCCCTGCAGGATCTTGGATCTAGTGGAGCAAGCTCTAGTCCAAGGACAAGCCTTTCTGTGCAAAGTCAACATGCCACCACCCTACGCCATGCATCGATCTTAGGTACCTCTTTTGCAGAGTCTATGCTTGAACAATCCAACAAAAGCTCAAAAGCAGGTCAATCTTCCAGCTGTTTAGCAGATCTTGAGTGAGGCTCTGGGATTGCATGGCCAGGCCTCGAAATGAAATCCATTTTTTTGACGTTCCGTGGTTTCAACTAAACCCTGCCCTGAGCTTCGGCTTATCAGGCTTATCACCATCATCCGTAGAGTGGGATGTCCCGAACTCAAAAACGGAGAGCTTAAGATCAGCAGCGAACGAACAAGCATGCAGCAACTAGGGTTGAGGGCCCGATGCTCTCGCCGAAGCTTGAGTGTTTGGGACACTGTAACTGAGTTCCGACTGAAACACAGAAAGATTGCCCCCAAGTTCCTTGAATCCGAAAATCCTTCCACCTCGGTCCTTCCACCTTCGCCCACATTTCGTTAGCCCAGCAACATTCCTACCCCAATCCTCAACCCTACACCCCAGTTTGCAACTCGATCCCTTTCTCGATAAAGCCCAAACGCTCCGCATCGCTGCGCAATGGCTTCTGGGTCCCCGACACTGCTGCTGCTGCTGTGGTGCCTGACGAAAAAATTAAAGCCAGGTAGCAGGTTTTCTGGGGGTACCTGCAATGATTGGGGTTGAGGCTTGGGGATTTGCAGCATGGCGCGTTCCAGATTTCGAATTTTGTGATTGTGAGTTGTGGAATATTCCTGGCACATCCGATGTGTTAGTCTTGCACAGGCATCGATTCAAGATTGCAGCTGCTTCACAATACGAACCTGCTTTCACCCAGACTTACAACTAGAATTATATGCACCCTCACGAAATTTCCCCGACTTGGACCTGAATACTACACAAAGAATTCTCGAAATTCATACCAAGAAAGATGTCTCGATGGCTTTTGCCTTAACGCAAACCATGTAGTTTGAGAAACACCAAAAAACTTCAGGCATTCAAAAGGAGCGTTGACTAAAAACGCTTGCAGGTAAGAATGATGAAGTTCGCATCTAGATAGTGACATCCGCTTGTGGGGGTAACTGCTGTCATCTTTCGGCTGGCATAGTGTCCAAGACGTCATCCAAAGTTTTCCATGAGGGCTCGGGGACTCCTGTGCTCAAATTGCAACTAAATCAATGTAGCAAAAGAATGGTTGGGCTTCGTTTCGTGCACATATACATACATACACTAGTAAACCAATGCTAACGTGCTGAATTGCCTGAAGGCCTAAGTACGATGCCACACAAAACCAGAGGTTTCCAAGTATTGTTCACCGCCTGGTGTTGTTCACCGCCTGTCCCGTGGGGTGCGAAACTTGGATCCTAATCTTGGAAATTCCAAAAGAAAAGCACACCCATGCTCAGAACCCTATAGATTCTGGGGACTGAGCAACTTTTACAACTGCTCGGTTCCGTACTGTGCCATATATTGCCAAACACTGAATGTCAAACACGCCCTGAGTTCCGAACCGTCTGACGACAGTGCCCCAAACACTAAGAACATCATCACAGCCTCAAAACCAACAAGTCTTAAACTCTGGATCTATCTCAGAACTTGCAGCTCAAGGCACTAGTTGCGGGTACCTTGCCAATGGTGCACTGATCCTGGGGCGTTCATACGATCATACGAGCCAAGGAAAAGCAGTGTTCTTACACATAGCAGTACGTGAAACCATGCCAAGAGGGATCATGAACGCTGACTCTCCGACCGTATCCACACAGGGAGCACACAAGGATCTAAACCGTCAAAACCTTGACGGAGTGAAGGTGAAGGGCTGGCATTGCTTTTTGGCGAGTAGGGAATGAGGGAATGTACCATCTTCCCCCAATAAGCCTCACTGCAATCAATCCTAAACATCCATTCCTTCATCTCCTCAAAAAAGAAGTTATCTGTCCAGTCTCAAGGGTTTCTTCAAAGGTTGGCCTTTGGCTGGTATGCGAACCCAATAAGCGCCAAATTACCTGGTGGACAGGTAACTCGAACAAGAGCATGAGGCGATGTTGGAGGAGTGCCGGTCGAGACTCCAACACCTCGCCTCAAAGAAACTGACAAAAGGAAACCCTCGTGCAGCTTCCTGATGCAATTGCCCTAGTCGTCCGCAGCAATCCCACTACCCATTCTTGTCATCAAGCCCAGAGTTCGCAACAAAATAAAGAAAGTATACATACTTTTCCAAATTTGTTTCCCAGCTGAGGGGGCGATACTAACTCTTTGATTTGAAGGACTTGACTTTCCAGGCAGGTCCTCGCAGTCCGCCGTGGGGAACGGGCCCTGATCTGAAGGCCGACAAGCCCCCTTCTTCTCGTCCTCCACGTTCTGGCCAGGACCTTGGAAACAAGGGCTTCAAAAGGTCAGGGTTTAGGGTGTCACCTTTACATATAATTCTAGGGCTCTATAAGGGGCTTTCTCAAAGTGAATGGCAATACTTTTGCAGATCCTTGATTGATATACAAGAGGATTCAGAAGGTCTTTTCTGAAGATTTGGAGGGGGCAGTTTGAGAAACAGATCTGTAAAGGTCATGGAGAGTTTTCACACATTGCACAATGTGTTTGGCGGGGGTTCGCAGGCTTTATAAGCATCTGTGCGCTCGCAGGTTTAATCCGAGGATTAGGCTTTCGGCGCAGTTTAGGATGCTTGGCTTAAGGTTTTTGTGTTGCCTAAGTTTTCGGGAGGACATGTAAGCAAAACTCCATGATCCCGAGAAACTGGACTGGCCTCAGATCGCACGAAACCCCGCAAGTCTGCTGCACAAGATAGGCATGGGACGTAATACAATTGAGTGGGTGGTCTAAAGAGAGTTGCATGCACAGTAGGAGACAATTCGGCAAGTTCTGTTCTTGTGGGAATGTGCAAGCGCTTCGCGGCATTCGATCCCCAGCAAACACTGTTTCTTCGAAATCAATTTGAAACCACGTAAGTGGCATCTAGTTTGTTTACACCCAAAAAGAAAAAAAGAAGACGATGAAATCTGGAAAATGGACCCGAGATCGAAGTCTGAGCGCCTCTGACGTGACACAATGACAGCCCGAAGGCAGAATTTCAAAGCCTCCGCACTATAATCAAAGCGTCCTTACTTGCCTTGGAATCGGAATCTGTATTTGTTGACAGTTTCTGCTTGTTAGCAATCAATTGCGGTTATCCTGCATAAACACTTTAAAGCCTTGTAAGGACTCAAATGAGAACCAGCCCTCTTTTGGAAAGTTGCCCTGCACTGAACGCTGACCCAAAAATCACAAACTTAACCGGTAGGTGCGCAATGTGAGGATCCAAGTCATGAAACCGGAGCCAGAAAACAAGAGACGCATGCAGTAACTTACCCTCAACTTTGTGACCCTGGACCCTGCCAACCTCATGAAGCCCTACACTTGTAGATCCCAGATGCTACGCCTCCACACAGGAAACCATGCACGTTCCACACCAACCTAAACCCTTTAGCTTCAACTTCCACCCTGCCCAAGTGACTCGTGCTCCCGTGGCCTGCTCATAATTCCAAGTCCCTTCTGTGCGTCCGTCGCGAATAACGAGGACTACAATATCTTCCGAGTGAATCCGAAGGGGGAATTTTTACATCTACGAAGTTGCCCCCGCTTTCAAGCCAGGCCGCAGCGGTAACCGCCAGTCTCGGCCGTCTCCCATTCTGTGGGACCTAAAACGGGACACATTGGGATTCAGGGTGTATGCTTGAGCTGAAAGTCTCGGCTTATTCCATGCTTACTGAAATGACAGCAACGAACGCTCACCCTGCCTAAGCCACAGCCCCAAATTTCAAGTGAGCCCACTACATCCTCATTCTGTCAGAACCTGGCTCCAGTTCCGGACTCTGCACAGCAACAAAGAAGAAGAGCCAGGTATGGGAAGAGGCCTTCAAGTATGGATTGGTCTGGATGGAGATTGGGAAAGAGATGTCAGACCCCCAATACGCGAAGGCGCACAAATGCATGACCAAGTTCATATGCTCACCCTTGCTCGCAAACGTGCTCGCCCTGTCTGCTGCTGGTATAGGGCGGAGCCCCCTAGCGACACGCAACACATTCCACTCAGTACTTTGATTAGTGCATCAGACGAAGCGTGCGCTGCGATCCTCGCGACAAGCTGTCTAGTCTCTCCGTGCTGCATCTGTGCCCTGCCTTCCAACCGCATGTGAGTCTCAAGTCATACTAAGATCACTTTGGGGGAGGCCCAAACCATGAACTACAGTGCTGCAACCCAAGCTGACCTGAATGTTGAGCCTCATGCCCCAGAAAAGCAGAGCCTGCGCCTACTACACAATTGCACGTATCAAAGAATCCAGATGAAAGAAGCGTAGATGGGCCGTCTCGGAACGCCTCGACAACCCTGCGAACTGCCCAAAATCCGTATACAACATGCTGAATTTTCACAGACCCCATGTAAACCGACATGGAAAAAGAACAAAACTCAGCGCACCCCGATAGAGCCCATGTTTCCCGCTGCAGGCTCCAGATTACACGCCCCTACATCCTTATGAGTCTTGACCGTCAGCACTTGTACGCAGAACAGCCCCATCCTGACAACCCCCAATTTTCCCACAGCCCCTCCTCTCCCCGTTGGCCCCAGGCATTCACCAATGCTGTCACAAGCAGGGAAACCGGAGGGGCCAGCTTCTGCTGCCTACACCGCGGCTCAATGGTTCGCGCTTAGGGCTTGCAAGGGTTGATGCCTTTCGGGCTTAGCTGTTTTGTTGAGACGGAGCTTTGACAAGTTAAGGCCCTGGTTTGGTTGCACAAGTTTTTGAGAGAGATCTTTTGAGTCGAATTCATGAAATTCCTTTCACAGAGTTGCTCGACTTCTCAGAGCACGGATTTTGACAAGGATGGGGATGTCTTGCTGAATTGTTGGAGGCTTCGTTGGTGTTGACAAACCCTGTTGCAAGGCTTTTCTACACTTGCAGTCCTTGAGCATCATCAACAACTCCTGGCACGTCTGACCAGGCAAGACTTCTCCCTTCATAGCAAGAGGCGCCATGAGAACCTGGAAAATGTGATTACACCTTCAGGAGACCAGTGGACACGGATACAAAGAATGCAAAAACGAAAGCTGCCAAAAAACATCACAAAATGGCCTTGCATATCTATCTCAGGACTCAAACCTCATTTGAATTGAGTATACGGCTTGCAAACGGCGTTGGTGGACTTGAAGGGCTCTGCATCCCGCTTTCGAGGCTTCAGCACGCATGCCCAAAACGCTGCCTACCCAAACACTGGAAAGAACCTCATCTCAGAATTCAGGAACCCAAGACATGAAAGTTAAAGATCGTCAACATGAACGCAAACCATGGAACCAAGAACCCGCTAAAAGCCCCATGAAGTCGAACAAGCTCCTATACCAACCCGCCACAACACTCCCAAACAACACTCCAAAACTATTCTCCAAAACCATTCGAAATGCTTGAAAGTCACCCAAGCTCTCCTCTCAACCAACCCGGGAAAACGTCAAGATTGCCAAAGCTCGGCAACCTCCTTCTGCTCTGCATGCTCTGTCGGAGGCGGACCTCAAAAGTGGACAGTATGGGGGGCATGATGCACAAGTGTGGAAGCCTTTAGTACTTGAGACAACATAAAGCGAACAATCACGGGCTGGGAACATATGTGTAGATATGCAAATGTAGATATATATATATATACATATATATACATATGTATATATGTATGTATGCATATACGCCTCTCTCTCTCTTTCTCTAAACATCTTCAATTACAAGTGATTGTTTTGGGACGCAGTGTACGACGGACAGTTGAACATCATGCGCCGCTTTCATGCCTTCCTTCTTGAACCAGTGCTGGAAATGAGCAATTAAAAGGTGACACCCTTGCGTGATTCTGGCAGGCCTTGTGGCTTCTTCTTAGAATCGGTGTCCAGCAGAAGCAGAAGGAGGAGCAAGAAGCTAAAGAGCAGTAGCTAGGACAGGACAACAACCTGCAAATCTAGTAACCCTAGCAATAAACGCAACTTCCCCTAGGTTTGTCGAAGTAGAGCCTTGTCCCTACGACTGAAAGGTGAGGGGCAAGTGAGATTCACAGCGCAAAGGCTTTCTTCTAGATGGCTTAGCAGCCCCTACCAGTTTGCCAGTGCTGTGAACAGGCTGTCATCTGTATCACGAGCATCTACACTTCTTGCGCATAATTTTGCAGGCACACACCCCACCCTTTTCCTCCGGTTCTGCTGTCTTGTTGTGCTTGGAATTCCACAGCCGGCTACTTGCCACCGTTGCATGCCCCATCGTGTAACTTATGGCTCTTTGCAGCAACGGCACTGAAGCAGTCGAACTTGACGCCTGGTGGTTTGGGAGCTTCGCAAAGTGAGTAGTCTTTGTTTTTGTGGTTGAACCTAGTAACATTATATTCCTTATATAAAGTACTATACCCCAAAAAGAGGATAGAATCTTACTCTATATTGGGTACCATAATACCCCCAAATAAAAAGCTTCGCAAAGTGAGAGTTGTGTTATTTAGGAACAAGATGTCGGTGGCTTTGTGCAGAAGGCCATGCGAGTGGGTCAGTCACTGTCAGTCACTAGGTTGAAAGTCATAGTCGGAGAAATCCAGCTGGCTGTTCAGCACCAGGACAAACCTTGCCACACTCGTC